AGAAATACTGTATAGTATTATAAGTATATTTATTTAAACTAATTTAATGTTTACCCAAGGTGGTTAGCCACCCGAACTTAGCGAGGGTGTCTGTTACTCCGAGGAATTCTTTAGAGTGGGACTATTAGACAAACCGGTTACTCGGTTAACCGAAAAAATCGAGCAAACGCTCATTTTGAAACTCGGTTTTCAACTAAAGAAAACTGGTGATATTCGGTTTTGTCTTAAAACTATTTGGACGTAAATTCGTAACTCAAAAATATATCAACGTATTTTCATTAATAATGATAAAGGAACGTGAACTGAATTCTAAGAATACGGGTACTTGACTACAGTACAGCGACAGCACCCGCAAGACGGAGACGGGTTTGAAACCTTTGGATAGCGAGGTGCACGAACAGTACCTATATTTCTGGGTTAATTTTTCCATTTGTCTGCAGTGTTGTTCTTTTAGCAACTTAGTTCAGGAGACTAATGAATGTTTAGCGAACAAAAATTTGGTTTTAGCGAGAAATCAACATAGAGACTTATAATTCCTTTTTTGATCTGTAGATTTTCTATAGAAATAACACCTTTTTTTTCGCGGGGCAATCGTCGTCGTCCACCTATTGGCAGCCAAACTTACTGGTACGACCACGAAGATATGCCGCCGCTGAACAGGATCGGCCCTCTCTCGATCACGCTCGGCGACCTCCTTCTGGAGCATCATCGCTTTACAAAAGGCTAAACCTAACCCAACTGATACAGGTATAAACAATATTTTCTTCTATTTTTTCAAACATAAATAAGAAATTTGTCGCAATTGTCAGTATACGAGTGTATACGAATGTATCTATCGCACAAGCCACTAGTACAATTGTACCATTTTCTAAATCTAAGTTTTATTTGCATAACAAAATCAATACAATACACACGCGCGAGTGCATACACAGACACACACACGCAGACGCACACACACTTAGGTCGAGTAAATTTTCACTTGAAAACGTTACATTTGAAAACTTAAATGCTAAGGAATTCACTTTGAATCTAATTTTTGTGGTACCTGGAACCATGTCATCTGCATATCGATGCATGGAACCATCTTTGTCTGTCATATAGTCTTCAATTTTGTAATATGACTGGTGAATTAAAAATTTTAATGTAGTTTTTAAACTCAGGAAATGATAATCTTAATATACGCTCCGGAATCATATTGTAAAAACGTATACAGTGCCCCATAAGAGTCGTTTGCCATGGTTAAACGAAATAGGGTTATCATGAATTATAACTATGATAACCGTTTCAAAAAGGTTTCAATATTAATGAATTAGATACTATAGAATTGATTTAAATAAAATTTAAGGGATACGTGGATAGAGTTGTGGGAACAGTTAGGAATAAATTAAATGAATTGTAAGGCAAATTAGACTTTGTCGAACATTGGAACCGCTGACCTTCGCCTAACGAGCTATTGGTGAGTGAGGGGACATTAATAAAAAAATAGGAGGAAATATTTATTCAGGGTTCAGTTGCCGACTTTATTTGAAAGCAATTCTTTATCGTTAACTTTGAAATTTTTACTAGCGAATTTCGAGAGATGTAGTATAAAGACAAATGAAAGAAAAGCAAACGATATTCTTGTATTATTGTAAAAGGGCTAAGAATGTAGTACATATATAGGAAGGTTACGATATGGAGACGGAGATATAGAAATGGATAGAGGGAAACGTGTTAATTTAGTGGAAATGTAAACTTTATTAACAAAGAAATGAAGAATACCTATTTTCTTGTATAGTTTTGGCATTTGTTTCAATGGATTCCCTATTAAAATACTTAATTCTCTTCATAATTGCGGAACCCTAAAAAGATGTATAAAAAGCTTAATAGGTGTACAAGTACATTATTCTACCAGTTACGGCGTTTTAGTGTGGCTGTCGGAATTTAAAGGTATATTGATTAATATACAATTTGGTGCAATTAATGATTTGTGATTTATACGAATATTTTCACATCTTAACTTTAGCAGTTTTTAGAAGCAGTAAGTAGAGCTCCCTGTGAAAGAGTTCGTCCAGTGTAGTACTGCCACCTTATCTATTTCTGCCGCCTAGCAGTAATTTCAGCATTACTGCGTTCCGGTTTTGAAGGGTAAGTGCTCGGTGAAATTACAGGCTCATGGGACTTGTCAACTTATGTCTCAGGG